GGTTGGGAAAAGAAACACAAGAGTATACAAGAAACTGAGGTAGGGAACTGTAGATGAAGACCAAATATACCCGAGGAACATATTTCAGTCACCAAGTGACTACATACATACATATAAATAAATCACAACATTACAATATTGCAGGATACAATGGGGATAAATATTCCTATTATCCTAATAGATAAACACTATAACATATATTAAAAAAAAAGAGAAACTGAAGGAGTATCTGAATAATTGCAGATGAACTGATTGGTCATGATTAGCTGGATTTGTATAAATCCAGCCCCTTTCCCTAATATGAATGAATTTATAACCTGTAGTATCTGTTTATGAGTAAGGTTAATGCTTCAGAATTTGGTGACAGAGAAGACCACAGACTTTGATGTTTTTTTGTTCAGTGGAACAAAAACAAGTGGGCCACATCTTCGGGCTCACTGGATTATACAGAGGTACCGAAGGAAGTTCCTACTGCTCTGCCTTTGGTGGCTGTTTCAGTGACTTTTTTGCAGAGGTGAGTAGGGTCATAATAAATACCACTGCAGTAACTGCAAGACCTTTTCAAGCAGAAACCCTAAGGTGGTTTCTTTGAGGAATAAAGGTTTCACATTACAAAGTGTTTTATTGTCGGGAACATTTAAGGGATCTGACATTTCCCTTAACCAAGATTCTGTGTCTATAAAAGTCATAATCCAGAAAATTACGTTTTAGCATTCTTATTATATAGTCTGGTATACCTTTCTGATTATCTACAGATTTTGTATTACCAGCTAGTTTTTTACTTATTCGTATAAGGGGTAATTTTATATTTTTTCCTTTTAAAGCACTGCTTCATGTACACAAAGTTGCAGTCACCTTTGAGTGGTCATCTGCTTTTCAGGTTAGCAGTTTGTCACTGAAAGTAAAATTGTAACTTGAATGCAGAGCTTAACTTTCTTTGAAAATTAATTGTATGGACTTCTCTTTGAGGGAGTTTGTCACGTTATGTATTCTGAATAGCTTCCCAAATGAAACAACTAAAATGTTGTAAAAACTTTATAAAGCATCTTTCTAAGTGTATTACTAAATTGGCAGAAAAGAAGAGAAGGCTTAGAGACCAAAGACAAAATGAAAGCAGGAATCCTGGATTGTCCCTGAGTGTTTGTGCGGGCCCTGGCAGCTGATGTCTTGGCCACCTAGGCAAGAGGGGTGGGAAATAATGCCTCTGGTTCTCCTTGGTGGAGAGTCCGGTGAGAGGTACCCTCAGCGTAAGGGTGATTGAGAAATAAACCTCCCAGAGGTAGAGCTGGGGGGTGAGGGGGAGCGAGCACATAGGAGGGAGACCTACCTGTCTTTACCTTGGCACTAGCGAAGGGGGAGGAGGGAAGGCAGGATATCAATTCTTCTAAAATATGAGAAAGGCTGACCTTCACATGGCATCAAGTTGTCTTTGTTGTCCATATGAGGTCCAGAAATCCTCACACTAGGAATTTAAAGTGCATCCACTCAGTTTTGTTGCCTCACAAGAGGCAAACAGCGGGCAAATACAAATCTTCTCTGGAACAGTGCCACTTTTAGTCATACTTCCAAGAATTCCCGCAGATAACGTTTCAAGGGAAATCAGTTCACAGTCAAAAAGCACAAAGCCAATGAAGAAATTCACCAGCATGAGTATTAGAGCTAGCGGAAACACTGCTATGGAATTATCAGATTTCTAATGTAAAACTAGTACATTACATACACTTTCTAAAATCAACAATTAATGTGATGCTGCTTTTACAAAAAAATAAAAATAAACAAGAAGCTTGGCAGCAAAGCAAGAAACAAGATACTGTAAAAAAAAAAATGACCAAACAGATTTGGAAGAGGGCTAAGTAGAACTTCTGTAAATACAGCTATGATTATTAACATTAAAAACATTCAGTTATTAGGTTAAAGACTAGATTATACACAGCTGAAGAGAGAATGAATCAAGTAAAATATAGATGTAAAGAAATTACCTAGAATGTAGCCCACTGAGTGGTGGAAAGCATATGAGTGTTTAAGAGACATGGAAAAGAGCAAATCTTTTTAGAAATTTTAAGCCACATTAATTGGGACTATCCAATCTACAGAGGACAACTGGCCCACATTATTGTCATGCAAATGATGTAGTTATCGTAGTATCAAAGTAGACTTTAAGAAACATCACTGGAAATAGAACATCATAACCATAAAAGATTCCATTCCATTTTATTTAAATACAGTAATTCTATTTTTGTATATATCTAACTTTTATGTGTGATTTCAAAGTATAGAGGGCAAAAATTAATAGAAATCCAAATAAAATTAGATAAATCTACAATTCTAGAGGAACATTTTAACAGATCTTTTCTGGAACAGATAGGGGGGAAATGACCCCCTAAATCACTTAAATATGTAGATTTAAACAATATGATTAACAAATTATTTAACAGATATATTTAACATAACACACCAATAGGCTACAAAATACACATTCTTTTTAGCTACACACAGGAACATTTAAGAAAAAAATAGGCCATAAAGCTTTTCTGAGGTAATTTTAAAAGATTGAAACCATACAGAGTATGTTGTTTGAGCACAGTAGGATTTAACCAGAAGTCAATAACAATAACAATAACAAGAGGTTGAAAATCTCATGAATGTGATACCAAGTGAAAGCAGATACAAAAGAATGCATATTATATGGTTTCATTGTATGCAAAGTTCAAAAATAAATTAAGATATGACTGTAGTGTTTAAGGGTGCATTTTAAGGCAAAAAAAATAAACGGAACAATAAGATTACTATAAAATTCAGGATGATGTTTACGTTTGGGGGTGGGAGGCGTTGTTCAGAGCATCATAGTGCAAGAAGTTCCTTTTCCTTCTGTTGACAAAAATATATTGATTATCCTATGTGCTTATTCTTCCAGATGAACTTTAGAATAATGTTGTCAAATTCCTTAAAAATATCATTTGAATTTTGATTGGAATTGTGTTAAATTTGTAGATTTCTTCTGGGATTATTTGCACCTTTGAAATATTGAGTCTTCCCCTCTAGGGTTATGGTGTGTGTTTCCAGTTATTTGGGTTTTGTTTGTTTTGTTTTTAAGATTCCTTAGAGGAATTTGAGAGCTTTCTGCATATAAAGCCCACATGTCATGCTGGGTGCATTCCTAAAGACTTAATTTTGCTTCTGCTATAAATGAGTCCGTCCCCCGCCCCACCATCTTTTCTAACTGGTTATTGCTAGCATGTAGGAAAGCTATAGATTTTTTAAAAACTGCTTATCTTAGTATTAGCTTTAATTTCAATGTTTACTTTAAAATATTTGTTGAGGATTTGTTGTGGACTAGGTATAAGTAGTCACTTTGTAATAATTTTTTCATCTGTTTACCAGTTCTAGTTTATAGTTGAGAAAATAAGGCTTATCTAAGGATAAAGAGATTGCTGAAGGTCACACAACTAAACAGAGTTAGGGCTGAGATTTTAATCCAGTTCTGCCTGACAAAAAAGCTCTTTTTTTTTTTTTTTTTTACCATGGGATTATATTTTTCTTGATAAATTTAATTCAACAACCAATTACATATAAAGATATTATGCTATGGAGATGAATGAGATAATGAATGTAAAATTGCCTTGAACGATTCAAGGAATATAAATGAACTACCCAAATTAATGTAGCAATTTCACTGTGAAATTGAAGCTGGGAGATTAATTGGAGAATAGCTAACATCTGGCATTGCCTTTCAGTACTTCAGAAGTCATAGAAGTTTTTGTTTATAAAACTTTTGATATGTCCTCTGAACATCTATGCCTGATGCATTGTCAACCGGGTATCTTCCCAGTGGCTTTTTTTTTTTAAATATTAAAAGTGGCATTTAGCGAGTCATTTAAATGATGATGATAGTGAGCCACATTTAAGATTTTTTTAGTGATGACCATCTCCAGACTAGTTCTTAGCACCAAAGGACTACAAAGTTGTTCTTCTTTTATTCAACATCTATTTTATTTTGCCTCTTTGAAGTGCCTGCTACTGTATTTATTTGCTGAGTATTAAATAGTGAATAGAAAAGACAAATTTTAAACAGGCAAGTAAGTATCTCTCATGAGAAAAGTGCTGTGAAGAAATAGTCTGGGCGCCGACAGGGGGTGCCTGGCCATTGGAGAGCAGACCAGGCAGAGGAGCCGCCCTGGGCCAAGGTTTTAAGGAACATAACAAAGGTGAGTGTTGCTTGAGGACAGAGGTGCTGCACAAGTTGGAACAAGCTGAGCGAGGTTGGCTAAGTGGGCAAGACTGTAACATGCAGGACCAGGGAGACCACAAAAAGGAATTTGGATTTTATTCAAAGAGTAATAGAGATGTTTTTAAGAAGGGCACCAACATGGACCCATTCAGGATATTACCACTTTGTGGTGGCCACTATATTGAGAGGATCCAGAGTGGCGGTGGAAGACCAGGGCTGGCTAATGCTTAGGTGAAGGAGCTGTCCTGTGTGCTGAAGCTCATTTAGCAGTCTCTCTGGCCTTCACCCACTAGATTCTAAGAGTAGTCTTCCTCTCACCTTCCAAGTTGCAACAACCAAAAACATCTGCAGACATTCCCAAATGTCCCCTAGCGTGGTGGAAGCATCCCCGGTTGAAGGCTACTGACAGAGACCCAGAGGGACATGATGAAGGCTTGGAACGGTGTGATGGCAGTAGACGTGCAGAGAGGTGCTCAGATTTGGGAACCTCTCAGGCAGAAAAGGATTTACTAGGTTATGTGGCACGGTCAGCTGAGAGGTCCTTCACTCTCCTTCATTGCCAGGTTTTTCAGGAAACAAATGTTTCTTCACATTTTTTAAAACCTTAAAATTTACTCACTTATCCCCAATCTTTCTAAAACCTTACATCTTCCCTATATTGGGCCCACTTTGTGTTCTATAGACAGACAAGATCTGCCCCCTCCTTGCTGACACACAAACCATGCTGTTTCACACAATGGAGTGGTGACAGGGATGCTTGGTCTCTCATCAGGAATCCTGAAGTGGGTAAAACTGATCGACAACTTTGAAGGAGAATATGACTACGTGACTAACGAGGGGACAGTGTTCACGTTTAAGACAAATCGCCATTCTCCCAACTATCGCGTGATCAACATCGACTTCACGGATCCTGAGGAGTCTAAGTGGAAAGTGCTTGTTCCTGAGCATGAGAAAGATGTCTTGGGTAAGATGACATACTACTTCAAAACTGTGCTGTTGTCTGGTGAGAATGTCAGCAAATTAGTACATCTCTTGTTCTTTGGTGACCCATTACAAGGTAAAGAACCTTCAGCCTCTTCTATTTGGGGGCATGAAAGTGTCTAAATAATTCAACCAAGTATTTACTGTATGACATCTTTGCAATTACTACAAGATTATTTAAGATCTTTGTAATAACTGTGAAGGTATGAATCCAGACTTTCAAAGGTCATCCTTTTTTTTTTTTCTTAAATATCAGTTGTCTTTGTGTAGTCATTGTTTGATGATAATCACTCACATTTAATTTTTTAAACCATTTGAATTCAAAAGCCTTAACTTTTAGCTTTTGAATAACCTTTGGCTGTTTGTATGATACCTATTGTAGATCAAAGAGAAGATTTACAGTCCTCTTATTAGAAAAGAGAATAGACAAATGTGAGGTTTAATTGAAATGCATTGCAGTTGCTGCCGTATGCACTGAGCTCCATTAACCTCTTGAGACTGTCGCCTCCGCACCAGTCCTTTCAGCGTGCCTTTAAGTACCCTTGTATTCATTTTCTCTGATTTTCCAAAAATGATATGCTGCTTTATAAATCATTTATTGCCTGGAAGCTGGATTTGATTACAGTTAGGCTCACTAATTTCACTACAGTTTTTTACACAAAAGGAGAGTCCATTTATCTTCAAGCCCTTGAAGAGTTTACTAGTTGGAGGTGAACTTCTGCTAATGGGTTCAATGGGGATGAAAAGATGGGCCATCCCAAAATAGAAAGGTATAAGGTGTGTGACTAGGAAAATAAATCCTTTTGAGATCTGCAGAGAGGCCCTGTCTCATAAAATAGTCCTTACATGTGTTTTTCATTGAGTTAAACACACAGCTGCCAGAGTCTAGCAGATCCACGTCCCCGTCCTGGAAAAGTAAGGGACCCTTTCTCCCCTGGCTGAGGGCAGTGTGCTCCATGCCTGGCGGGTATTTAAACCCGGCCTCATGTAGTGGGCAGAGGGGAAAGGTGTTGCAGCTGGTCACACTGGCTGTCTCAGGGAGAGCTGCCAGTGGGTGCTCCTTCTGGGCCCTTCCTTCAGCATGTGTCTTGGCCCAGGAGGAAGCTCTGCTCTGGGTCTTTGCTTGAGATTCTCCCCATCTGCTGGGCATGCAGCTGCACCCCTCTTTGGTATGAAGGTCTCTACACCCTCCAGGCAGTTCTGTTGGACAGGACCCCAGATGACCTCATGCTTGCTCTTTCCTGCAAAACCCGCATCTGCACCCCCAAGACAGCAGCCTGTCCTGTGCTTTTCCCCTGAAGTACTTAGCCCACCCTTCTCTTGCCTTCTAGGTGTCCCAGTCCCAGTCCCTTTAGCCTCTTGGGTTTGGCACCAGTTTGCTGTCTCTCAGGCTGGCTCTCCACGGTGGCGATGGGGCTTACAGCATGACTGGGCTCTTTCCAAGAAAACCCCTTCCCTGTCTGTTCAGAATCTTCCACTCACTCTCTGCCCTCATTTATCTTTGGATGAGAGATCCATGAGTCAAGGAACAAGGTTTTAGCTATTTCCTTTAACATCTTCATGTGAGGAATCAGGTTCTTAGTGACTTTGGTAGCCTGATGAGACAGACCCTAAGGGTGGTAATAGCCAGACATTCAGTGAGTCCTTCCTAGGTGCCACCTGACCTGACCTCGTGTTGGCAGGCCCAAGTGAGACTTTGGCAACATAAGTCTTCATGTAGGGTGTCCTGGGTGTTTTTCAAGTGCAAGTCAGGTTGGATCAGTGATTGTTGAATAGGGTGCTATCACAGATGTAACTATTTCCCAAGGCATGTGACTTTTCCTGCCCTTTAAAGCCACAAAAATGGTTTGACTATGCCTTAAGGTGACATCCTCTTTCACTTGTACATCTAATGAAATGCAAATCACTGGTTAGAGATTTGGTGCAGTGATATATTTTTATAACCTTCCTTCTGGAAGACTGTAAGTTCTTTAGACTGGAAAGGGGAAGCCTTTCATATTCCTTAGAGCTCATCAATTCAAAGAGAAGCCCAGTTGAATTTGCTATATATCATTCGCACAGAACGCCCTACTGAGAGTAAAAACCAGAGATGACTCATAAAGTACAGCCATAAAGTCAGAGCTTTTATTAATGACAGTCTACAAATCACCTTGTACTTTTCTTATTCACTCTGTTTTATAATTCTGACGTTCTCGTAGTTAACACAGATTAATTATTCTTTGACAGAAATAATTTACTAATGTTTTTCCCCCATACTTTCTTTAAAACTTTAAGGCCACATGAAATGTACTATTCGATCGAGGCACTTTTTTAAGAAAAATTGTATTGGAGAATGAGCAAATAACTTTTCGCTGTAAAAGTTCTTGATGTCTTCACTTGAGGAAAAGTTTGCTGTGGTAACCTAAGCAACCCAATGAGGTCAAAGCCTCTGGTTACCCTCCGAGTTCCCTCCGACAGTTGTCTTGCTCATGATGAAAATTGGTAACGTTATAAACATGAACTGTTAGTTGTGTGGGTTTTAAAAAGTAAGCAGTGTCAAGGATCCCACGACCACACTTCCCACCATGAAAAGAGAAGCTAATTGTCCACGTGTTTGAGCTGTTAGCTGCAGCCTGCCCTTGCTTCCATTCCTGCCAGCATCTCTCCCTTTGGATGGCCTGGCCTTCCTTCAGGCTAATCTTGTGCAGAATGAAGTGGATCGTGTTCTGGGCCTGCCCTTCTCTTCTCTCCTTCCCCGTCACCTTGCTCAGCCCCGACTCTCCCAGCTCTGCCTGAGGGCAGCACCATTCCTGAAGCTGCAGCCCTGGGCGCTGAGGAGGGCTCTTCTCTCTACCTCACTTCCCATTTCCTCATTTCACCAAGTCCTGGGCAGGGTGATCCCCACCTGGTTTGATTTGACTGGCTTATGTCTCCTGTGGCAGGATACTGAACACAAAATAGAAAGGCAGGGTAATATATAATACACACATTTTATAGATAATCAGAAGCTTCTGGCCCAGCGTGGAAAATATTTTGTTTCCTCTAGACACAACAATGATAATTTATTTATTAAAGGAATATGCTGGAAACTATATGAAGGATTCAAAGCCCTCATAAAGTCACTTTGCAGGTCTCATTGCTGCATAGCCCAATGGGGAGCACCAGGACTCGTGCTCAGTGACATCGTATGCTTTCCATTCCTTTGCAAAACTACATTAGGTTTTATCTGTTATTATCTTTTCAGAATGGGTAGCTTGCGTCAGGTCTAACTTTTTGGTGTTGTGCTACCTCCATGACGTGAAGAACATTCTGCAGCTTCACGACCTGGCCACGGGTGCTCTCCTGAAAACCTTCCCCCTTGAAGTGGGCAGCATTGTGGGGTACAGTGGTCAGAAGAAGGACACTGAAATCTTTTATCAGTTTACTTCCTTCCTATCTCCAGGTGAGTGTCCGTTGTGGTTCAGTTTAAAAATCAGACCAGCTCTGGCTGGGTGGCTCAGTTGGTTTGAGCATTGTCCTGTGCAGCAAGGGGTTGTGGGTTCAACCCCTGGTCAGGGCACACACCTAGGTGATGGGTTTGATCCCTGGTTGGGGCACATGTGGGAAGCAACCAACTGATGTTCTCTCTCTCTCTCTCTCTCTCTCTCCCCCCCCCCCCCATTCCATTCCTCTTTCTCTAAAATCAATGAACATGTCCTCGGGTGAGGACTGAACAAAAAAAAAAAATCAGACTAATGTTTGGGTTTCTTTTGGGAAATGGGAATATAATGCTATGTTATTGAAAATCACATATGCTTTATTACAGCCAAATCACTTAATGGGAATAAAACAGATGCTCAGAAAAAAAAAGGGACATGCAACTGCCTAAACAGCACTGTCATCTTATACCCTGAGTCTCTGTTCTGGGGACAAGACTAACTATTGTTCTAGGTTGATTTAAAAAATTAGTATGAACAAATACAACCTTAGGTTCAGCCTTGGTTTATATGTACGAGGCCACACACAATACAGATAATAAAAGCTTAAAATAAAAAGCGGTAGTCACATCTGACAGTAAAAATTGTTTTCTAGAATAAACTGAGAGCTGGGCGAGTACTGAAGTAGCTCCATCTTCTTCTTGGAGTTTGGCCAGATGACAGAGAAATCCCGCCCACTTTTTCGTGTGTGTGCCTCGGAGTCACAGAGCAAGCCATTCATAGGAATCTTATAGTCTAACAGGTGGCTGTCAGGGATATTAAAGCCAAAAGAGGGGTGCTCTCTAAGCAGGTCTGATGGCGTGCCTGGAACACATAGCAGGCTTCACCTTCCCCCGTGCCCCTCAGAGGATCTGGGGGCGAGGAAAAGTGCCTGCAAGGTACGGAAACCAGGGCCAGGAGTCTGGGACTGACAGGTTAAGAACCCCACATCTGGGAGCCTCACCCCTGTCCCCCAGGGAGTGGGGTACAGTGGCAGCCAGTGGGCAGGAACCAGGAAAAACCAGTTTCCTCCAGATAGTCATTCTCACCCACTGCTGTAGTGTCTATAGTTTATTTACTCAGGTTACACTGGTTCTAGAAATTTTACACTAGAAAACCTCATAGTTTAAACAGTTTAAATGGATAAAGGGCAATGAGAAGAACAGAGGAGGGGGTGACTCACCTGCTCTTAATAAAAGCCAGGGTCACCGAAGGCTGTAAACCTTCTTAAGTGACCCCATGTGGGCCATTTATTTCAGGAACAAGCTCATCATTACCTGGGCAAGAAAGGACTCATTGTCCCAGTGTAAAGTGGCAGGTTGTGTGCCAAGCAATGAAATGTTACCCGCGACTGTGGCCATGAAGTTTGAAAAGAGAAGTGTGTTCTTAGTTCTGTACCGCCCGGCTGCTTCTGAACAAGCTTTAACTTGTTACCGTAATGCTTTGTTCTTTCCCTTCCTTTGTTCTTCTTCAGTTGGCCACCATCTTTGTTTTTTCTCTCTTTGATGTGATTTGATATCTAAAACTAGAGAACAGGACTTCTAGACTCCGGCCTTTTGGTCCAAATGTAAAAATGGTCATCAGATAATTATAATTAAACTAGATCTCTTGAAAGCAAGAATTGTCAGCGTGTGTGTATACATATCCATACTCCTGCATATTCCCTTAAAGGCTGGCTTGCCCTAGTCTCTAAAGGTTAGCAATGTGCTACTGCAGTAAACAGCAGAGATACTGAATTATAAGGAAAGTTGCAGGGCCAAAAATAACTGCAGCTCCAGCTGCTATGGACATGTGATACATCTGGCAGTTTCATGCCACAGCTGACTTTTGTCCCCATAGAGTACATGATTAAGATGTGCCCTGGACCAAGCCACTTAGGACTTTTGTACCTGGAGTCACACATGGGAGAAAACAGGCAGCCAGGGCAGTTTGAAGCACAATGCTCCTATTCCCTGTGGCTCAAACCACTTAGTGGCTGAGCCGATTAATTCTGTACTCAGGAAACCTCGCAGGGTTGTCTAAGGTTAGCTCCAGGCAGACTTGCACGTTGATAATCCAGTACAGCAGCCCCAGGCACATGGCTCTGGGAAACAGTGATGATAAATTAATCTTCCCAGACTGTCTGAAAAAGGCAAAAAAACATTTTTAAGACTTTTTTTTAGAGCAGATTTAGGTTCCCAGCAAAATTAAAGGCAAGGTAGAGAGGTTTCTCATATAACCCCTGCTGCCACACGTGCATAACCTCCTGCACTATCAACATTACCCCCTTACAGGGTTGTTGCAGTCAACCAACACTGACACATGAGTGTCACCCAAAGTCCATAATTTACCTTAGGATTCATTCATGGTGATAACACTTTCTAGGGGTTTGGATAGATGTATACTGCCATGTATCCATCATAATAGTATCCTACAGAATATTTTCAGTGCCCTAAAAACTCTGTACGCTGCTTTTTCACCCCTCCCCCCTCTCCCAACCCCTGGCAACCACTGATTTTTTTTTTTTTTGTATTTTCTCCATATGTTTTCGTTTCCCAAAACGTCATATAGTTGAAATCGCATGGTATGTAGTCTTTTAAAATTGGCTTCTTTCACTTAATAATACACATTTAAAGTTACTTCATGTCCCTTTCATCACTTGATAACCTATTTCTTTTCAGCATTGAATAATATTCCATTGTCTCGATGTAGCACAGTTTATTTACATTTTCACCTAAAGGACATTGCAGTGGCTTCTGAGTTTTGGCAATATCATGAATAAAGATGCTGTAAACATCCATGAGCAGGTTTTTGTGGGGACACAAATAAATTTTTGACTCCTTTTGGTAAATATCAAGGAGCACAAAAATTTTTAAGAGACTTATTTTAGTTTTTGGGGTTTTTTTTTCTTTTAAAAACCTTACAATTCAACCTAGAATCAGATAAAATAGTATCTACATGGGTCATCCTTTGCAAAGTTCTTTTGCCTTTTCCTTACATATCCAGTTTTTCACATCCCTCTGATTCTTCTTTCACAGTTCCTCATAGAGTTACCCCTTCCTCCTAACTCCCATTATTTTAGCTCCTTGCATTTATTGTGGATTATAGCAGGAACATCCCAGCCGATTGTCCCTAACTCTTTCCGATTGCTAGAATAACCTTACTAAAGCGCTTGTTTTTATCAGAGACCTATTTCCTCAAGTCTAGACACCTTGAGGGACTTCTGTAATCCAATTCTCTCTTTCATCCTTAAGTTTTGAAATTGATTTCCCAGAGATCACCTAACGGGTCCTCCCTGGTTCATGATTCTAGGATGTTTTCTCCAAATTGCACCTTCCTTGGTACTTAAGGAGCCAAATCAGGGCACCAAGCACCATTACATTATAAGGATTCACATTACAATGTGAATGTGTGAATGGCTCACCCGGGCTAACCCAGGCTAACCCAGATGGATCTGTAAATAGAAAGTATTGATCAAATATATTAAACACTGCTACCTTCAGGGTTAACCCAGCCTCCTCCAAGAAGACAGAAGAGTAGAGGTCAGGCAGCAAGCAGCCCCTGTGGTATATGTACTTCACTCTACTTAGAGGATTTGATGTCTCAGTTTTTTCTAGATTAACAGGCATTTAGAGTGTGTATCCTATTCATTGTCTTTCACTAGAGAATTTGCATTCTGGGACTTTGGTGACTTGTCTGACTAAGCTCGCTGACCCGGGAACAGTCCGAGCTGGGAGTCCTGGCTCCCAGGCCCTGTGTCAGTCACTGTTCTAGAGGCAGCAGTGGTGTCAGGGAGAGACAGGTGCTTAGACGGCACCTGCTCGGTCTCTCGTCTCTATTTGTAATTGTTTGGTTGGTTGGGGTTTTTTTCCTTCAAAGATTCACGTTTTTCAAATTTTGTAGAAGGGCGGCAGGTACTGATCAAGGAGCTTTTCCAAAATTCACGTATATCTGAAGAAGGCCTTTGGCTTCAAGATTACATTCATCCGCAAAAATTCACCGTATGCCCAGAGTATAGTTTGAAAGTACTTAAGTTATACTTTAAGTGTAGCTTCAATGAAGAAAGCCAATACTTCAGTCCTGTGACATATCCCCATACTGTCAATGTTAATCATACCCCCCATTATAGTACCTTAAAACAATTTGCTAGTGTGACAATTAAAATAACATCCATGGGGATTAGCAGTCATGCTGTTAAGGAATCTAAATATGCTACTCTTCGCCAGTGGGGGCAGAGTGTTGTTTCTCAGCTGTTAGTGAAGAACATTCACAGAGGAATTAAAGGAAAAAAGCAAGCCACCATTTTAATACAAGATCCATCAAGTAGAATGTGTCCTGTGGGACACCTGTGACTTCTGGTTTTCCAGCAAGTGTGGGAATCACTTCATCGATTTTTCATGTACTTGGCAGCATCTGTTTAGAGTATTATGTGGCGGGACTGTTTGCACATTCTGGATGACTAATTCTTTTTCTGTTTCATCAACCACAACAGTGTTGTTTTCATACAGTAGGACTCATCTTATTGTTTCTTGGATTTAGTTCTTAAATGTTGAAGTGTAGTAGCATTAAATTCAGAAAGTAGAGTTTTAATTAGTGGTTAAATAAGCTGGAAATCTTGCTACACATTTATCAATTTCTGTTGTGCACAATTACAGGCATAATCAAAATTTAAAAAACAATACCATGCCCTGACCCAGTGGCTCAGTTGGTTGGAACACCATTCCATACACCAAAAGGTTGGGTCAGGGCATGTACCTAGGTTGTGGGTTTGATCCTTGGTCGGGGTATGTATGGGAGGCAACCAATCAATGGTTCTCTCTCTCTCTATCTTTTTTTCTGTCCCTCTCTCTCTCTCCATAAAATCAATAAACATATCCTCGGGTGAGGATTTTTTTTAAAAAGCACTTAAGAAATGTCTCCCCAATCATCTTTGGTCCCTGAATGCTGTCCACCTGTGTGTCCATGAATGAGTGGCTGTTGGGTAGGTAGCAAGAGCTCCAGATTGCCGTCAAGAGACCCCCGACTGGCTGTTGATTTGGGGCAAATCATTTGAGTTTTCTCTCTTAATTGACTCTCAGATAAAATGGCTCTGCTTGAAGTTTCCCACATTTGTTTGTTTGTTTGTTTGTTTGACCTGAACTTCTAAGTGACATCGAGTAGAGAAGGCCTGTTAAGATTCCACAGTTAGGATCTTTACCTCTTCTCATACTCCCCCGTGCTCTTCTCTTGCTCCTTATAGCATCTGATTGTGGTTGGTAATCCTTGCCCCCCTTGTATCCAGTGGGTTTGTGGACTAAACTAAGACTTCCGCTCCCTTCTAGGCATCATTTATCACTGTGATCTTACCAAAGAGGAACTGGAGCCAAGAGTCTTCCGAGAGGTGACTGTGAAAGGAATCGATGCTTCTGATTACCAGACAGTCCAGGTACGGAGGAGCATTTGCTCTTGATAATGTGAGTTAGAAAAGCTGACTTTTATTCTGGGCCATTCACACCCCAGCCCGTCGGAAGCTGTGGAGGTAATCCACAGTAATATGGATGACAGATGTGTTTGGAGCTCCTGTGTTTCTGGGCATTGAGCCAGGCACAGTTCCTGCCCTCCCAGGGCTTACAAGTTTTCCCATGGCTGCAACTCTGACAAGAAGCTAGAGCTCCTTGTCTGGGGGATCTTAACTTCAGTAGCTGTCAAAGCAACACAGCTTGTCTATGTTAATCCATTTGCTTGAAAGAGGGTTGTGTTCCAGCTCAAGTCTTGCGGTGTCATAAATAACCACATAGATTTTCTCTATATACTGTATTTACTCAAGTGCTGTGGGTCAGTCTAAAGTTCATGTGTATTTCTGCCTGGCACAGAGTGCGCACTCCATAAAATATTGGAATGAATGAATGAATGAACCAATTAATCGTCTTGGCACCACAAACTCAGTCTCTGGTCACCATCCTTTTAGGTTAAGAATCTCCGTTTTTATCTCTCCAGCTCCCCAGAGGTACTGAGTTTCCCAGAAATTTAATCAGTTTTTGATCGATGACACAGAATGTCTCTGCACCTTTGCAGTGAGAGGCAACCTACAGGGCACCAGGCATTTAGCAGAACTCTCACCTGGAGGACTGGACGCACAGACCACTTTCTGGGTGCTTTCAAATATTGGGAACCTAGGGAGGAAGGAAGGTTAGAGCAAAGAGCACTGGATGCTCCCAAGAATGTTTCTGTGAAACTGGGCCATGATTTTAGTTTGGTGAATTATTATTCATGGTCTAGAAGTCGTCTAGACGGTGAACTAGATCTCAGTCATAAAAAAATAAAGCTTTGTTTACAAAAACCGATGGTGGGCTAGATCTGGCCCAGCTCTGCAGCTTGCCAGCCCCCCGACCTGTTTTGGGAATTGGCAGACTGGCCTCCAGTTTTATTGGAGAACATCTACGTCCATCTGTTTATGGAGTACCTATGGCTGCTTTAGCACTTTAACTGGGTGGGTGTAACAGAGACTGCATGGCCCACAAAGCCTAGATTACTTAGTGTCTAGCCTCCTAAGAAAAAGTGTGTTGACCCTAGTTGTATAAACAGTATTTATAAAATCAAAGTGTTCTCAGTAGATGCATAGGGCCTTTGTCATGAAGCTCTGTCAGGCCTGAAATCCGCACAACCTTGTTGGGTGACATTGGGCGAAACATTTAACCTTTTCGCCACAATTTTTTCAGCTGTAAAATAGATAGTATCTATTTTGTAGGATTGTATGAGATGATGTATATTAAGTGTATGTCAAATAGAATATAATGAATGTTTTTCTATCAGAATTGGCAATAAATATAACAGACTTTTAGTCTTGCCTATCTGTTTTGGCTTGTTCCTTCTTTCATTTTCAGAGTGAGCCATTGCCTGGAGAGAGAGCCTGTGGGGGCCAGTAGCCCCTGTCCGGTACTCACGTGGTTCATTAATTCAGCCTAGTCTATATCAGACTGTTAAAGTCACTTTTAGGCTTTCATTCTTTGCCATTTTCCTTTTTCTCCATCTGTGCAAAATTTGCCCCCATCAACGGTAACGTTCGTCCCTCACAAAGCCGCCTTCTGGCCCTTGCCTGGCCAGCCCCAGGATCGGAGGTGTGTGTGTGCACACCACTGCCTCTCCTAACAGTGATGTCCAGGATGCCCAGGCACAGGGACCATCCCCTCCTCTGCCCTCAAGGGTGCAGCCTTGGCTCCCTAGAATTGGGCCGAGTGGCCTACAGGAGACCCCTCTGTCTTCTCCTCCTCCTCTCTATTACACAGCCCCTCAGGTCTGTATTTAAAAACAAACGAAATTCTCTTTTCCATCTTCCCAAAACAAGCACTGCCCGGGTGTACAATGACCTTTGCAGTTTGGCGAAGAAGGGGACCTGGAATAATGACAGCTGGCAGGGAGGCAGAGAAGTAACTCTTCTCAGTGAGGATGGGTGGAATTGCTCCTCCCAACAGATATCTGGAGGCTTCTGTTCTGATAATACTAGTAGTTTTATCTAGTTCACTACTGGTGAAAACACAAAGTAGTTTTCAGCTAACATGTATTGTTTTCTGTTGTAAGTGCAAAGATAAAACTCTACAGCCAAGCACATGCTTGTGTGGAGTGGAAATTTCTCAGCTGAGTATATAACAGCAGCCTGAAATTTGCAGGTTAAACTGGGGAGGAAACGTGCTTGGGGGATGCCCATTGCCTGCGTCATCAGAAGACTCACGGAACTCCTCTGCCTGACTCCCTACTTCCCAGGGAAAAGTCCCCTGACTTTGAGCTGCGCAAATACTTACAGCTTTTCATTTGTACTGTGGCAGTAGAGGAAAAAAGATTCATGGTGAATATTTAAAGAGATGGTAACTGGACAGAACACATTGGTTTACTGATCTAATGCCCTGCTCCTCATTTCCGTGTTTTAGAAAATGGAGCTGTGCCTGTGGGCAGAGGAGAGCCTCTGTAGAATGCCAGTGGAAGAATTTGTACATATTGATTATACACATCATATATTGCACTGAGTCATTAAAATAGAATTCTCTCATGTATAGAGGTGCCTTTGAAGAGCACAGCACCATAGACCTGTTTCACTTAACACCCATTTTGCAGTGGCTGAGATTCAAGTGTGTGCAGCAGAACTCGGACCTGAAACGTGAATGTAACGGATGTTCTTCCACTTCGATTCGGCCCTCAGTGGTGTTGCCGACAGTGACCGACCACTGTAAAAGTGGCTCTGTAAGCGATTGTTCATGAAGGGAAAGCATCCTGACGGTGTGTACCAGAAACCACAGCATTTTAGAAAATAGATATTCTATTTTTGCTTTCAGTCACTTTAGGGTAATGCCGCTTTTGATTCCACGTGACCCTGGCGTTCATATTCATTCCATGTGTAATTTAAAAAGATGATCCCTGGGCTGTTTGCCACTCCTTTTTACAGTGTGTGAGGCACCGTTGTTATTTGGAAGCAAACTCTGCAGCCACAGATTACCCTGCATGGCTGGCCAGTGCAGTTCGTGGTGGTCATGACCATGCACATCTACCAGGTGGTGTAGCTGGTGAGATAGACCAAGCCAAAGAAAGAGGAAGGGAGGGGCTGAAGAAACATGCAGCTACGTAAGCCACAGAGGGCTGTTCTTTGTGTGATCTGCACTCACTCAGGGCCCAAAGTGTCTTGCAAGGAGGTGGGGGGAGGATATGGTATCATATTTTGCTCACAGATACACAGAGCTGCTCTCTATATAGCCTTTATCCATTTCTGACTACAGCTGTGGGTATAAAATTAATCTGTATCAGAAATATAATTGTGAAAATCAGATCCTGGAACACTGTTCATTTTTCTTCCAGTCTGAGGTACATTAGGAATTTAGTTTTAGACAGGTTTATCAAATCTGCAATTGACTAATCTTTTCTTTTTCTTTCTTTTATTGTGAATGACATGGCCACATAACTTTAATTAGAATGTCTGCGTCCATGTCTTCAAAAAGAGGTTGAAATGCTGAACATTAGATATCACTTTTATTAAACAGGTTTGGTAATAAGTGACTTACCTGAAAAATCTGTCTACATTTATAATCAGTAATATGTTTTATTTTAAACAAAAGTGAAGTAATAGGGAAATGTTAGTTAAATTTAGAACATCAGCGAGTATTTATGACATGGCATTCAATGCTGGGTGGTAGGGTTTGAATATAGAAAAATTTCAGACACAATTTATATTAATTTATCTAAGGTAATTTTGGAAATTTGTAGTCAGACTGGAAAGTTGCGACATAGAGATCCGAAAGGTCAGGCACCCAAGGGTGTTACCACAGAGATGGAGGGAGAGGCGCGGGCTTCAGTCCACACTGCAGTGTGGGAGGCCCTGCTGACGGGCCCAGAACGAAATATTCACAGCAGAGGTGGAAGCTGCCCTGGATGCTTTCAAAGCTCCTCCTTCCCCACCAAGACAGCTGAATGATTTTTTTTTTTTTTTTTTTACCACCCTTCATTCAGAGACTGGTTCTGCCTTTTGTGGCAGTGTAAGTTCACAATTTCACAGTAAACTCAAGAAGAAAGGAATTGTGCCCTCAGTATCCTGTGCAACAGGATTGACCTTGGCAGTTATCTTCTGCAGATGGAATAGTGTTTGAGCTGTGACTGAATGTGACATGACAAAGAAATGTAATGTAGAAAAAATGCAGCTTTATGGTTTCTCAGTATCTCATTTTTGTTCATCCAGCTGAGAGATTGGCTTTTCTCCTCCCAAAATGAAATAAAACTTAAAGATATGAAAAAGAACAGTGAGCCGATTATACTGTGAGTAAACTCCATTAACAGCAGTTTTCCACATTTCATAAAAGACAGTTTTTTAGAAGGAAGAGCCAATTTAATGAAGCAAAGACAAACTTAAATCAATATAGTACAAAAATAATACCTTTGAAACATCAAGATCTTCCCAAAGGTGGTTTGCTGTGTAGATGAACAGAAGTGTTAAAATTAGATGATTCTTTGGGTTTACAAAGATGCCTCAGGGTAGGAGGAGTGGAGATTTTTTTCCTTAATGTAGAATTTTCTAACCTTGGTGATAACTAATTTGTCATTGCTAGCATACAGGCTTTTCCATTCAGAGAACATGTTCTCAGAACATTGATTAGTGTTTTGATACTCATTAACTCTGTGCTGAGCACATGGCACCTAGTTTTTAAATATTGACTCATCCACATCCTTGGTGACCTGTTGGACTAGTGACAATGTTTTCTATAACACTGTGTTCTCAGAAATCTTCAAGACATGTTAGTGAAGAGTGAATGGGGGAAGATTTTCAAAAAGAACTTTTTGAAGGACACTATGCTTACAGTTAGAAGGCTGCTTTAAATTTAATCAGTTCCTGAATCAACTCTTGTCTAGACTTTAGCAGAAGTATGATGTGAGTATAGGGGACTATTTTGAGCATTAAACACAAGATGA